GCAACTACTTCACAAACCTGTATGTCAAAAAAATTGGAGAACTCAGAAGAAATGGAGAGATTCCTAGATAGATGTGAATTACCAAAACTGAGCCAAAAGAGACTTAAAAATCCTGAATAACCCAATAACAGACGATGAAACTGAAAGACTAATATAAAAACCTACCAAGTAAGAAAAGCTCAGGACCTGATGAATTCACTGCCGATTTCTACAAGAACTTTGGGAAAGATCTAACATCAATAATCCTCAAGCTCTTTCATGAAATTCAGAGGGAAGGAATACTCCCAAAATGGAAAATTATCATTACCCTGATCCCAAAACCAGACAGGGTTCCAACCAAAAAAGAGAACTAATCTCTCTAATGAACATAGATGCAAAAATCTTCAACAAGATACTAATAAGCAGAATGCAACAAATCATCAAAAAGATCATACACCATGACCAAGGAGGATTCATTCCAGGGATGCAAGGATGTTTCAACATACAAGAATCAATAAATGTAATTTATCACATAAACAGAAGCAAGGACAAAAATCGCATGATCATCTTTTAACAGACACAGAAAAAGCCACCAACAAAATCCAACATCCATTCATGACAAAAAAAAAAACCCTGAAAATACTGAAAATAGGGCCGGGGATTTAGCTCAGTAGTTTCACCGCCTGCTGCGCAAGCACAAGGACCCGAGTTTGAAACCTGGTACCAAAAAAAACCACAAAACCCTGAAAATAAAAGACACAGGAGGACCTTATCTCAATCTGATAAAAGTTATTTATGATCAACCTACTGCCTACATCATATTAAATGTGGAAAAACTGAAAGCTTTCCCTCTAGAATTAGGAACAAGAAAAAGATGTCCACTATCACCGATCCTGTTGCACATAGTTCATGAAACATTAGCCAGACCAGGACCAGGGATGTAGCTCAGTGGCACTGCACCTGCCTCACAAGCACAAGGTCCTGAGTTCAATCCCTGGTACTGAGAAAAAAAAAATAGTCAGATCAATCAGGTAAAAGAAAGAAATAAAAGGGATACCTATAGGAAAGGACAAAGTCAAAATATCATTATTTTCAAATGACATGATTGTCTACTTACCCAAAAAATTCCACCAAAGGACCCCTAGAATAACCAAATTCAGCAATGTAGCAGATACAAAACAAACACACAAAAAAATCAATAGCGTTCCTGTGTAATAATATTGAACTCACTGAGAAAGTAATTAGGAAAACAATACCATTCACAATAGCATCAAGAAAAATTAAATACCTAGGAATTAATCTAACCAAGGAAGTGAAAG